CTACATATACAAACAATAAATACATTAAAAACAGAATAAAATCACAAGCAATGAAAAAAACCTTAAAACATTAAAAGCACACACGGGATTAAAATAATAAATAACCACAATGCATAAAAAAAAAGAGTATGTATCAATAAAATCCTTCAGCCGTATGCACAGCTAAAAAGAACAGTTTTTAACCCTGATTTGAAAATTGCCAGAGTAGATGCTAGCCTCACATCTTCAGGAAGATTGTTCCAGATTTTAGCTCCATAAATCTCAAACGCTGCCTCTCCATGTTTAGTTCTGACTCTTGGAACCAGTAAGCGGCTTCCTCCTGTGCTCCTCAGAGTCCGGGTCGGTTCATATGGCACTAACAAGTCGCTTAAGTACCCTGGTGCGAGGCCATGGAGAGACTTGTACACAAGCAGTGCTGCTTTGAAGTCTATTCTCTGAGCCACAGGAAGCCAGTGCAGAGACCTGAGAACTGGACTAATGTGGTCATATTTCCTGGTCCTGGTCAGGACTCGAGCTGCAGCATTTTGGACATACTGCAGTTGTTTTACAGCCTGTTTGGAGAGACCTGTGAGCAGCCATTGCAGTAGTCTAACCTACTGGAGACAAATGCATGGATGAGAATCTCCAGATCTGATTTAGACACTATGTTTCTAATTTTGGCAATGTTTTTCAGATGGTAAAATGCTGCTGATGTTACTGATTTGATATGACTGTTAAAATTTAAGTCTGAGTCCATTTTAACTCCTATGTTTCTGACCTTGCCTACAGGTTCCAGGGAGAGAGACTGGAGGTGACGAATAACGCTCTCTCTTTGTTTCTGGGGACCAAAGACAATCATTTCAGTTTTGTCTGCGTTTAGCTGAAGGAAGTTGTTTTGCATCCACTCACTGATCTGTTGGATACAGTGAAGGAGTGAGTCCACTGGTCCATGTTCTCCTGCAGTAAGTGAGACATACATTTGAGTGTCATCAGCGTAATTGTGGTAGGATACATTGTTGGAGCGTATTAACTGACCTAACGGCAGCATGTAAATATTGAACAGAAGAGGTCCCAGAATTGATCCCTGTGGCACTCCGCAGGTCACAGCCATATGATCTGAGACACAGTTTCCTATCTGAACCAAGTATTTCCTGTCTTCTAGGTAAGACCTAAACCAACTTAGGGCAGTCCCAGTGACACCCACCCAGTGCTCTAGTCTCTGCATGAGGATCTCGTGGTCGACAGTGTCGAACGCAGCACTCAGATCCAACATTACTAAAACTGTGACTTTTCCTGTGTCGGTGTTAAGTCGGATGTCATTTGTAACCTTCACTAGTGCAGTCTCAGTGCTGTGATTGGCTCTAAAGCCGGACTGGAGCGCATCAAAGGAACTATTAGTTACTAAGAATTCTGTAAGTTGTTGGTAAGCAACTTTTTCCAGAATGTTTCCCATAAACGGCAGATTTGAAATGGGGCGATAATTCTTAAGAACTGTGGCATCTAGACTCCTCTTTTTTAGGAGGGGTCTGATGACTGCCGTTTTCAGGGCCATTGGAAATGTTCCAGATGAGAGAGACATGTTCACTATTTGTGTGAGCAAAGGTAAAAGACTGCTCAAAACAGACTTAAAAAATGTAGTGGGTAGTACATCCAGGCTACATGTGGAGGAACTAAGGCTAGAGACAACATCTTGGACAGTTTCATTATCTGTTGGTGCAAAGTGCGATAGCTCAAACAGCCTCACCGGCTGTTGTAATGTTATTTCTGCCTTGGAGGTGATGGCGTTTTTGATGCTCTGAACCTTGTCATTGAAAAATTGTGCAAACTCATTACATTTAGATTCTGAGGCAAATTCGAATGGCAGCTGAACAGGGGGGTTTGTTAATCCGTTAACTGTTGAAAACATAAGTCGTAGATTATTATTGCAGCCATCAATGGTTTTAGAAAAATAAATTTCTCTTGTTCTACGTAGCACCCTGTTAAACTTGCACAACTCATTTTTGAAGATCTCATGATCAACCTGGAGAGTGGATTTTCGCCACTTCCGCTCGGCCCTACGGCACTCTCTCTTCTGTACCATGACTGAGTCCATTTTAGTCCAGGGGGCCTTTGGCTTATTTGTAATCATTTTAACCTTCACAGGAGCGATGATGTCCAGAACATTTATAACATTGGAGGTGACAGAGTTAAACAATTCGTCAACAGTAGAACACAATGTGTTCTCAAAGTTTATCATTCCCATGAATAGTTCGGTTGTGTTTTCATTTATGTGTCTGTGTCTGACAATTGCAGATTCAGATATATATGGTTGTTTACTATCAAAACACATGTCAAAAAAACACAGAAGTGATCTGACAGAGCCACGTCAACCACATTTACATTTAAAATATTAACCCCCTTAGTAACCAGCAGGTCTAGAGTGTGCCCTTTGCTGTGGGTGGGGCCACTCACGTGCTGAGTGAGACCAAATGTTTCAAGTACAGAACTCAGCTCTTTTGCATTTTTGTCATTGCCATTATCCACATGAATATTAAAATCACCTGTAATCACTAAACTATCAAAATCGGAGCTAACAACTGAAAGCAACTCAGTGAAATTATCAATGAAACTGTGACATGACTGCGGTGGCTTGTATAGGACAATGATAAGAATAGAAGGAGATTGTTTTTGTTGTATTTTAAAAGAAATATACTCAAATGATAGAACATTTCCAAGGAGAATTCTGAGAGATAAGAGTCCTGCTTTAGTCCTACTTCAGTCCTGTTTTAGACCATCTTCAGTCCTGCTTTAGTCCTACTTCAGTCCTGCTTTAGACCTACTTCAGTCCTGCTTTAGACCTACTTCAGTCCTGCTTTAGACCTACTTCAGTCCTCTTTTAGACCTACTTCAGTCCTGTTTTAGACCTACTTCAAACCTGTTTTAGACCTCCTTCAGTCCTGCTTTAGTCCTACTTCAGTCCTGCTTTAGTCCTACTTCAGTCCTGCTTTAGACCTACTTCAGTCCTGCTTTAGACCTACTTCAGTCCTGCTTTAGACCTACTTCAGTCCTGCTTTAGACCTACTTCAGTCCTCTTTTAGACCTACTTCAGTCCTGTTTTAGACCTACTTCAAAATTAGTTCTGTTTTGAACCTAGGGAGGAGCCAGATGAGCTGATAAGATAGAGATCCTTTATTGGTCCCACAGAGGGTAAATGTCAGTGTTGCAGCGCACAGACAGGACCGGGGTCAGAGACACAGGGAGCAACAATATACACAATAAGTAGAGGCTATGTTTCTTAGCTAGCTTCATTATCAATTTTTCAAAAATATGCTGTAGACCTGCCTCAGACCTGGTTCAGACCTGGTTCAGACCTGCCTCAGACCTGGTTCAGACCTGGTTCAGACCTGCCTCAGACCTGGCTCAGACCTGGCTCAGACCTGGTTCAGACCTGGCTCAGACCTGGTTCAGACCTGGTTCAGACCTGGTTCAGACCTGCCTCAGTCCTGGCTCAGACCTGGTTCAGACCTGCCTCAGACCTGGTTCAGACCTGGCTCAGACCTGGCTCAGACCTGGTTCAGACCTGGTTCAGACCTGCCTCAGACCTGGTTCAGACCTGGTTCAGACCTGCCTCAGACCTGCCTCAGACCTGGTTCAGACCTGCCTCAGACCTGGTTCAGACCTGGTTCAGACCTGGCTCAGACCTGGCTCAGACCTGGTTCAGACCTGGCTCAGACCTGGCTCAGACCTGGTTCAGACCTGCCTCAGACCTGGTTCAGACCTGGCTCAGACCTAGTTCAGACCTGGCTCAGACCTGGTTCAGACCTGCCTCAGACCTGCCTCAGTCCTGGTTCAGACCTGCCTCAGACCTGGTTCAGACCTGCCTCAGACCTGGCTCAGACCTGGTTCAGACCTGCCTCAGACCTGCCTCAGTCCTGGTTCAGACCTGCCTCAGACCTGGTTCAGACCTGCCTCAGACCTGCCTCAGTCCTGGTTCAGACCTGCCTCAGACCTGGTTCAGACCTGGCTCAGACCTGCCTCAGTCCTGGCTCAGACCTGGTTCAGACCTGCCTCAGACCTGCCTCAGACCTGGTTCAGACCTGGTTCAGACCTGCCTCAGACCTGCCTCAGACCTGGTTCAGACCTGCCTCAGACCTGGTTCAGACCTGCCTCAGACCTGGTTCAGACCTGGTTCAGACCTGCCTCAGACCTGGTTCAGACCTGGTTCAGACCTGGTTCAGACCTGCCTCAGACCTGGTTCAGACCTGGTTCAGACCTGCCTCAGACCTGCCTCAGACCTGGTTCAGACCTGGTTCAGACCTGGTTCAGACCTGCCTCAGACCTGGTTCAGACCTGCCTCAGACCTGGTTCAGACCTGGTTCAGACCTGGTCCAGGATGTGGACTGGTGGTTTCCTGTGAACGTGTTTCCGTTGCTTCCACTCTCTTCATTTCACTTCATTTCATTTTCACGTGTTTCAAACTTTAAATTTATTCATAAATGTTTAATAATTTATAATAATTAATTTAATTCTACTTTTTATCTTTCTTCACTTTGAAAAAAACACAGTTTTCACAAAACTTCAGAATAAATGGAAAGTGTGATGTCAGCTTTGATTGAAGATAAAACTCAGGAAGTGTTACCACAAAAACGACGACTGCAGTTAGAGACTGAACCAGGTCTGAACCAGGTCTGAGGCAGGTCTGAGGCAGGTCTGAACCAGGTCTGAGGCAGGTCTGAACCAGGTCTGAGGCAGGTCTGAACCAGGTCTGAACCAGGTCTGAACCAGGTCTGAACCAGGTCTGAACCAGGTCTGAACCAGGTCTGAACCAGGTCTGAACCAGGTCTGAACCAGGTCTGAACCAGGTCTGAACCAGGACTGGATTTCACTACATTGAGGTCAGTTTCTTTATGAAATGTTTTGTGTTTTTGTTGATATTCATTATATATTTATCATATATATATAGCAGTATAATAGATTTAGTCAGTCAGTTTATTCAGTCATTTATAGAAATTATGTTTTATTCCAAAATTTTAAATCTGTTTTTAAAACATTTCTCTAACTTCTGAGCTGTGGGCGTTGGTCCTCCTGCTCTGGTCCTCCTGCTCTGGTCCTCCTGCTCTGGTCCTGCTGCTCTGGTCCTCCTGCTCTGGTCCTCCTGCTCTGGTCCTGCTGCTCTGGTCCTCCTGCTCTGGTCCTGCTGCTCTGGTCCTCCTGCTCTGGTCCTGCTGCTCTGGTCCTCCTGCTCTGGTCCTCCTGCTCTGGTCCTGCTGCTCTGGTCCTCCTGCTCTGGTCCTGCTGCTCTGGTCCTCCTGCTCTGGTCCTCCTGCTCTGGTCCTCCTGCTCTGGTCCTCCTGCTCTGGTCCTCCTGCTCTGGTCCTGCTGCTCTCTGGTCCTGCTGCTCTGGTCCTCCTGCTCTGGTCCTCTGCTCTGGTCCTGCTGCTCTGGTCCTCCTGCTCTGGTCCTGCTGCTCTGGTCCTGCTGCTCTGGTCCTGCTGCTCTGGTCCTCCTGCTCTGGTCCTCCTGCTCTGGTCCTCCTGCTCTGGTCCTCCTGCTTTGGTCCTCCTGCTCTGGTCCTGCTGCTCTGGTCCTGCTGCTCTGGTCCTCCTGCTCTGGTCCTCCTGCTCTGGTCCTCCTGCTCTGGTCCTCCTGCTCTGGTCCTGCTGCTCTGGTCCTCCTGCTCTGGTCCTCCTGCTCTGGTCCTCCTGCTCTGGTCCTCCTGCTCTGGTCCTCCTGCTCTGGTCCTCCTGCTCTGGTCCTGCTGCTCTGGTCCTCCTGCTCTGGTCCTCCTGCTCTGGTCCTCCTGCTCTGGTCCTGCTGCTCTGGTCCTGCTGTTCTGGTCCTCCTGCTCTGGTCCTCCTGCTCTGGTCCTGCTGCTCTGGTCCTCCTGCTCTGGTCCTGCTGCTCTGGTCCTGCTGCTCTGGTCCTCCTGCTCTGGTCCTCCTGCTCTGGTCCTGCTGCTCTGGTCCTCCTGCTCTGGTCCTGCTGCTCTGGTCCTGCTGCTCTGGTCCTCCTGCTCTGGTCCTCCTGCTCTGGTCCTCCTGCTCTGGTCCTCCTGCTCTGGTCCTGCTGCTCTGGTCCTGCTGCTCTGGTCCTCCTGCTCTGGTCCTCCTGCTCTGGTCCTCCTGCTCTGGTCCTCCTGCTCTGGTCCTCCTGCTCTGGTCCTGCTGCACTGGTCCTCCTGCTCTGGTCCTCCTGCTCTGGTCCTCCTGCTCTGGTCCTCCTGCTCTGGTCCTGCTGCTCTGGTCCTCCTGCTCTGGTCCTCCTGCTCTGGTCCTGCTGCTCTGGTCCTGCTGCTCTGGTCCTCCTGCTCTGGTCCTGCTGCTCTGGTCCTCCTGCTCTGGTCCTCCTGCTCTGGTCCTCCTGCTCTGGTCCTCCTGCTCTGGTCCTCCTGCTCTGGTCCTGCTGCTCTGGTCCTCCTGCTCTGGTCCTGCTGCTCTGGTCCTGCTGCTCTGGTCCTCCTGCTCTGGTCCTCCTGCTCTGGTCCTCCTGCTCTGGTCCTCCTGCTCTGGTCCTCCTCCTCTGGTCCTCCCCCTCTGGTCCTCCGCTCTGGTCCTCCTGCTCTGGTCCTCCTGCTCTGGTCCTCCTGCTCTGGTCCTCCTGCTCTGGTCCTCCTGCTCTGGTCCTCCTCCTCTGGTCCTCCTGCTCTGGTCCTCCTGCTCTGGTCCTCCTGCTCTGGTCCTCCTCCTCTGGTCCCCCTCCTCTGGTCCTCCCGCTCTGGTCCTCCTGCTCTGGTCCTCCTCCTCTGGTTCTCCTCCTCTGGTCCTCCTCCTCTGGTCCTCCTGCTCTGGTCCTCCTGCTCTGGTCCTCCTGCTCTGGTCCTCCTGCTCTGGTCCTCCTGCTCTGGTCCTGCTGCTCTGGTCCTCCTGCTCTGGTCCTCCTGCTCTGGTCCTCCTGCTCTGGTCCTGCTGCTCTGGTCCTCCTGCTCTGGTCCTCCTGCTCTGGTCCTGCTGCTCTGGTCCTGCTGCTCTGGTCCTCCTGCTCTGGTCCTGCTGCTCTGGTCCTCCTGCTCTGGTCCTCCTGCTCTGGTCCTCCTGCTCTGGTCCTCCTGCTCTGGTCCTCCTGCTCTGGTCCTCCTGCTCTGGTCCTCCTGCTCTGGTCCTGCTGCTCTGGTCCTGCTGCTCTGGTCCTCCTGCTCTGGTCCTGCTGCTCTGGTCCTCCTCCTCTGGTCCTCCTGCTCTGGTCCTCCTGCTCTGGTCCTCCTCCTCTGGTCCCCCTCCTCTGGTCCTCCCGCTCTGGTCCTCCCGCTCTGGTCCTCCTCCTCTGGTTCTCCTCCTCTGGTCCTCCTCCTCTGGTCCTCCTGCTCTGGTCCTCCTGCTCTGGTCCTCCTGCTCTGGTCCTCCTCCTCTGGTCCCCCTCCTCTGGTCCTCCCGCTCTGGTCCTCCTGCTCTGGTCCTCCTCCTCTGGTTCTCCTCCTCTGGTCCTCCTCCTCTGGTCCTCCTGCTCTGGTCCTCCTGCTCTGGTCCTCCTCCTCTGGTCCTCCTCCTCTGGTCCTCCTCCTCTGGTCCTCCGTCTGAGCAGGAGGAGCAGGAGGAGCAGAGTGGTACTAACACAGGCCGAGGTCAGAGGTCAGAGGAACACGTGAGTAGATTTATAGAAAAACCAATGGATTTAAAAAGAAACAGTTCATGAAAAAGATCCTCACAGAATCTTCTTTTGTGAAAGTTGTAGTTCTCTGTCTCTGAGGTCTGTGGATTCAGGCTGCAGTACCGAGGGTGGCCTCTAGTCACAGAAAATCAATGGCCTCTCTCTGGCCTCTCTCTGGTCTCTCTGGCCTCTCTCTGGTCTCTCTGGTCTCTCTCTGGTCTCTCTGGTCTCTCTCTGGTCTCTCTGGCCTCTCTCTGGTCTCTCTCTCTCTCTGGCCTCTCTCTGGTCTCTCTCTGGTCTCTCTCTGGTCTCTCTCTGGCCTCTCTCTGGTCTCTCTCTGGTCTCTCTGGTCTCTCTCTGGCCTCTCTCTGGCCTCTCTCTGGTCTCTCTCTGGTCCCTGTCTGTAGCTGCGTTTCCATTGAATAATGCGCAAAAACTTTTTCGATACATTTCAAAATTCGAAAAACCTGTAATTCGCAAAAGCGGCCGTTTCCATTAAGACATATTCGAATAAGTATACACTATGGTCGCGCGTTTATTCACTAGTTTCTAGTACGTCGACATGGCAACAGAAGTAACCAACACTTTGATTTACGTGAGATATATTAATGTCTTGACTTCTGCTGCGGCTCTCATCCTCTCTGACCTCTGACCCCGGGAGAAACTGTGGCTGCTTTGACAGCTCCGCGAACGCGCATGGTTTATTATTTGTTTATTTATTTAGATCCCCATTAGCTACTGAAATAAAACAGTAGCTATTCTTCCTGGGGTCTTAAACATTTCTTAACAGATATTACATCAAAGCTGTGCAACAATGAAGACAAACACAGAAGTGCACACGAACACATATACAAGGAACATGACAATACAATATAACGTATACAGACAACATATACACATACATATACACGCATATAAACACACATAAACATATATACACACACATATAACATAACATAACATAAAAACAGTACAAGCTCTTCTATACAAAATATTGCCACCCTCTGGGTATTAAAAAGAAAAGAAAAAAAAAAAGTTACTATAGCTCATTATAAAGTACATATTAATTGCATAACTATTACAGTTACTCCAAAGTAAATAAATACAGTCTAAGTCTTTTGGAAAAACTGATATTGTGAATCTCTAAAACCAAGAATTGCGGGAGCGAGTTCCATGCCACCATTGCCCTATAGCACGATGTCCTCTGAAGTTGATTTGTTCGACAGGCAGGTAACAAAAAACGGCCTTCGCTTGATTGGCGAGTGAAATGATAATGAATGTTACTAAAAAAAGTCAATTTATTATAAATTATTTCAGGTGCTTTTAAAGTAATTGTATTTTTTAGGAATTTAATAAGAGAATAAGTGATTCTGCTTCTTACATGCAGCCATGTTAACTGGTTGTGCATGTCCCTAATACTTGTTCTAAAAGAACAGTTTAGGACAAGCCGAGCTGCTTTATTTTGTGCAATCTGTAATCTATTTATATTATTCTCTGTAGATGTTGCCCAAATGATGGAACAATAGTCCAGATGACACAACACTATTGATTCCACCAAAGTTTTCCGTATTCGAGTTGGTATGCATTTTCTGCAGTGCCGAACCGCGGCCATACTCCTGCCCATTTTATTCAATATTTGTTTTATCTGAGCATTCCAAGTCAGCCTGCTGTCCACAGTTACGCCGAGCAACTTGGCCTCAGCCACTTGTTCAATGATCGAACCACCAAATGGTGGTCATGTACCGAGCGCGGACCATAGACGCGCGCACAGAACCATAGGCACGGGTCTTGCCTGTCTCCCCCGTCTCTCCCCCATGCCTCTCCCCCGTCTCTTCCCCGTCTCTCCCCCATGCCTCTCCCCCGTCTCTCCCCCATGCCTCTCCCCCGTCTCTCCCCCATGCCTCTCCCCCATGCCTCTCCCCCGTCTCTCCCCCGTCTCTCCCCCGTCTCTCCCCCATGTCTCTCCCCCGTCTCTCCCCCGTCTCTCCCCCATGTCTCTCCCCCGTCTCTTCCCCGTCTCTCCCCCATGCCTCTCCCCCGTCTCTCCCCCGTCTCTCCCCCATGCCTCTCCCCGTCTCTCCCCCGTCTCTTCCCCGTCTCTCCCCCGTCTCTCCCCCGTCTCTCCCCCGTCTCTTCCCCGTCTCTCCCCCGTCTCTCCCCCATGCCTCTCCCCCGTCTCTCCCCCATGCCTCTCCCCCGTCTCTCCCCCATCTCTCCCCCGTCTCTTCCCCGTCTCTCCCCCGTCTCTCCCCATGCCTCTCCCCCGTCTCTCCCCCGCCTCTCCCCCGTCTCTTCCCCGTCTCACCCCCGTCTCTCCCCCATGCCTCTCCCCCGTCTCTCCCCCATGCCTCTCCCCCGTCTCTCCCCCGTCTCTCCCCCGTCTCTTCCCCGTCTCTCCCCCGTCTCTCCCCCGTCTCTCCCCCATGCCTCTCCCCCGTCTCTCCCCCGTCTCTCCCCCATGCCTCTCCCCCGTCTCTCCCCCGTCTCTCCCCCATGTCTCTCCCCCGTCTTTTCCCCGTCTCTCCCCCATGCCTCTCCCCCGTCTCTCCCCCGTCTCTCCCCCATGCCTCTCCCCCGTCTCTCCCCCGTCTCTCCCCCATGCCTCTCCCCCGTCTCTTCCCCGTCTCTCCCCCATGCCTCTCCCCGTCTCTCCCCCGTCTCTCCCCCATGCCTCTCCCCCGTCTCTCCCCCATGTCTCTCCCCCGTCTCTCCCCCATGCCTCTCCCCCGTCTCTTCCCCGTCTCTTCCCCGTCTCTCCCCCATGCCTCTCCCCCGTCTCTCCCCCGTCTCTCCCCCATGCCTCTCCCCCGTCTCTCCCCCATGTCTCTCCCCCGTCTCTCCCCCATGCCTCTCCCCCGTCTCTTCCCCGTCTCTTCCCCGTCTCTCCCCCGTCTCTTCCCCGTCTCTCCCCCATGCCTCTCCCCCGTCTCTCCCCCGTCTCTCCCCCATGCCTCTCCCCCGTCTCTCCCCCGTCTCTCCCCCGTCTCTTCCCCGTCTCTCCCCCGTCTCTCCCCCGTCTCTCCCCCATGCCTCTCCCCCGTCTCTCCCCCGTCTCTCCCCCGTCTCTCCCCCATGCCTCTCCCCCGTCTCTCCCCCGTCTCTCCCCCATGTCTCTCCCCCGTCTCTTCCCCGTCTCTCCCCCATGCCTCTCCCCCGTCTCTCCCCCGTCTCTCCCCCATGCCTCTCCCCCGTCTCTTCCCCGTCTCTCCCCCCTGCCTCTCCCCCGTCTCCCCCATGCCTCTCCCCCGTCTCTCCCCCCCCATGCCTCTCCCCCGTCTCCCCCCCATGCCTCTTCCCCGTCTCCCCGTCCCCCATGCCTCTCCCCCGTCTCTCCCCCATGCCTCTCCCCCGTCTCTCCCCCCCATGTCTCTCCCCCCCATGCCTCTCCCCCGTCTCTCCCCCATGCCTCTCCCCCGTCTCTCCCCCATGCCTCTCCCCCGTCTCTCCCCCATGCCTCTCCCCCGTCTCTCCCCCATGCCTCTCCCCCGTATCTCCCCCAAGTCTCCACACGTATCTCCCAAGTCTCCACACGAAGCGCAGCCAAAACTCACTGAATAAAGCAGCTCGGCCTTCCTCCGCTATATCGAAATAAGTGTTTCCATTGCCGCCGTTTTGCGAAAAACTTAATTTCGATACGTCCAAAAAACCACCTATTTTAAGCGCATTAACTTTTTATCGAAAAACTGTGGTTTATTTGAAATTTGCGCGTTTCCATTAGACATTTTATGATTCGCAAATTCAAATTTCGAAATTTGATGCTCAATGGAAACGCAGCTATTAGAAGCGGTGGTTGACCGCACAGAAGACAAGGGAGGGGCGGGGCCATGGAGGCGGGACTTGAGAGGCAGTTACCACGGTTACGTATTTGTTGCAGGATGCTGCTTTTGCTGCTCTCAGCTCTGGTCCTGATGAGTCTGGTTTTGCTGACGTCCCTGTGTCTGCGCTGTGGCCGGAAGTCCATGGGTAAAACCAGGACTAAACCAGGACTAAAGCAGGACTGAACCGGACTGAACTTGGGACTGAACCAGGACTGAACTAGGTCTAAAGCAGGACTGAACCAGGACTGAACCAGTTCTAAAGCAGGACTGAACCAGTTCTAAAGCAGGACTGAACCAGGTCTAAAGCAGGTCTGAACCAGGCCTAAAGCAGGTCTGAACCAGGTCTAAAGCAGGTCTAAAGCAGGTCTAAAGTAGGACTAAAGCAGGACTAAACTAGGACTAAACTAGGACTAAACTAGGACTAAAGCAGGACTAAAGCAGGTCTAAACTAGGACTAAAGCAGGACTAAACTAGGACTAAAGCAGGACTAAAGCAGGTCTAAACTAGGACTAAAGCAGGACTAAAGCAGGTCTAAAGCAGGTCTAAAGCAGGTCTAAAGCAGGTCTAAACTAGGACTAAAGCAGGTCTAAAGCAGGTCTAAACTAGGACTAAAGCAGGACTAAAGCAGGTCTAAAGCAGGACAGAGCCAGGTCTAAAGCAGGACTGAACCAGGACAGGTCTAACCCAGGTCTGACTCAGGTCTTGTGTTGCAGTCTCGATCCGTCAGTCCCGGCCCTCTGAGGACACCTACATCCCGTCAGTACAAACTTTATTCATTTTTCTTTTGTCGTTTGGAAACAAAAACAAACCTTTTTATTTCAGATCGACACAGTTCCTGGTCAACAGCCACAGTGAGTACTGCTACTGCTACTGCTACTGCTACTGCTGCTACTGCTGCTACTGCTACTGCTACTGCTACTGCTACTGCTGCTGCTGCTACTGCTACTGCTACTGCTGCTACTGCTACTACTGCTACTGCTGCTACTGCTACTGCTACTGCTACTGCTACTGCTACTGCTACTGCTACTGCTACTGCTACTGCTGCTACTGCTACTGCTGCTACTGCTGCTGCTACTGCTGCTGCTACTGCTGCTGCTACTGCTGCTACTGCTACTGCTACTACTGCTGCTACTACTGCTACTGCTACTGCTGCTACTGCTACTGCTACTACTGCTGCTACTACTGCTACTGCTACTGCTGCTACTGCTACTGCTACTGCTACTGCTACTACTACTGCTACTGCTGCTACTGCTACTACTGCTACTACTGCTACTGCTGCTACTGCTACTGCTGCTGCTACTGCTGCTGCTACTGCTGCTACTGCTACTGCTACTACTGCTACTGCTGCTACTGCTACTGCTACTACTGCTGCTACTACTGCTACTACTACCGCTACTACTACTTGAGACTTGTCTTTTCTTGTTTCCAGTGCAGTGTTCTCGAGACCAGAACTATGTCCATCCTGCTTCCAACCTCCTGTCTCCTCTGTAAGTACTACTACTACTACTACTACTACTACTACTACTACTACTACTATATGCGCTGTTACCATCAGGGCGGCGGTACAGTGTGCCACATTTTAATAAAGTCAGGTTGAGGAACTCCTTTGTCCATCAGTCCATCCTGAAGCTAAACGAGGATCTTAAGTCATAAAATCAAAGTGTGTTATGGCGAGCGGACAATTGTTTATAATGTCTTTGTGAATTGTCTTATACCTGTATGTCTTGTTTGTATTTTTACGGAGCTGCTGAACTGCAAAACAAATTTCGGATCCTTGTATCTGACAATAAAGCATCTATCTATCTATCTATCTATCTATCTATCTATCTATCTATCTATCTATCTATCTATCTATCTATCTATCTATCTATCTATCTATCTAATCTACTGCTACTGCTACTACTACTACTACTACTACTACTACTACTACTACTACTACTACTACTACTACTACTACTACTGGTTGTCACAAATATTGTATAAGTTTTTCAGCAGATGGCAATCAGAGACCAGGTCGTCCTTCCTCAACCCCCACAGAGACAGGTATTATTACTACTACTACCACTACTGCTACTGCTACTACTACTACTACTACTACTACTACTACTACTACTACTACTACTACTACTACTACTACTACTACTACTACTACTACTACTACTACTACTACTACTACTACTACTACTACTACTACTACTACTACTACTACTACTTTTTAAACCTGCAAAAAACCTAATTATTATTATTTTTTTTACAGAGAGCAACAACAGCTACGAAAATGCAGGTCAGAGCCACAGGGGGCGCTGTAGAGTCACAGCAAACTATAGAGACAGAACTATAGAGTCAGAACTATAGAGACAGAACTATAGAGACAGAACTATAGAGACAGAACTATAGAGTCAGAACTATAGAGACAGAACTATAAAGACAGAACTATAGAGACAGAACTATAGAGTCAGAACTATAGAGTCAGAACTATAGAGTCAGAACTATAGAGTCAGAACTATAGAGTCAGAACTATAGAGTCAGAACTATAGAGACAGAACTATAAAGACAGAACTATAGAGACAGAACTATAGAGACAGAACTATAGAGTCAGAACTATAGAGTCAGAACTATAGAGACAGAACTATAAAGACAGAACTATAGAGACAGAACTATAGAGACAGAACTATAGAGTCAGAACTATAGAGACAGAACTATAAAGACAGAACTATAGAGACAGAACTATAGAGACAGAACTATAGAGTCAGAACTATAGAGTCAGAACTATAGAGTCAGAACTATAGAGTCAGAACTATAGAGTCAGAACTATAGAGTCAGAACTATAGAGACAGAACTATAAAGACAGAACTATAGAGACAGAACTATAGAGACAGAACTATAGAGTCAGAACTATAGAGTCAGAACTATAGAGTCAGAACTATAGAGTCAGAACTATAGACAGAACTATAGAGACAGAGAACTATAGAGTCAGAACTATAGAGACAGAACTATAGAGACAGAACTATAGAGACGGAACTATAGAGACAGAACTATAGACAGAACTATAGAGACAGAGAACTATAGAGACAGAACTATAGAGACAGAACTATAGAGTCAGAACTATAGAGACAGAACTATAGAGACAGAAATATAGAGTCAGAACTATAGAGACAGAACTATAGAGTCAGAACTATAGACAGAACTATAGAGACAGAGAACTATAGAGTCAGAACTATAGAGACAGAACTATAGAGACAGAACTATAGAGACAGAACTATAGAGACAGAACTATAGAGTCAGAACTATAGACAGAACTATAGAGACAGAACTATAGAGTCAGAACTATAGAGTCAGAACTATAGAGTCAGAACTATAGAGTCAGAACTATAGAGTCAGAACTATAGAGACAGAACTATAGAGACAGAACTATAGAGACAGAACTATAGAGTCAGAACTATAGAGACAGAACTATAGAGACAGAACTATAGAGTCAGAACTATAGAGACAGAACTATAGAGACAGAACTATAGAGTCAGAACTATAGACAGAACTATAGAGTCAGAACTATAGACAGAACTATAGAGACAGAGAACTATAGAGACAGAACTATAGAGACAGAACTATAGAGACAGAACTATAGAGTCAGAACTATAGACAGAACTATAGAGACAGAGAACTATAGAGACAGAACTATAGAGACAGAACTATAGAGTCAGAACTATAGAGACAGAACTATAGAGACAGAAATATAGAGTCAGAACTATAGAGACAGAACTATAGAGTCAGAACTATAGACAGAACTATAGAGACAGAGAACTATAGAGTCAGAACTATAGAGACAGAACTATAGAGACAGAACTATAGAGACAGAACTATAGAGACAGAACTATAGAGTCAGAACTATAGACAGAACTATAGAGACAGAACTATAGAGTCAGAACTATAGAGTCAGAACTATAGAGTCAGAACTATAGAGTCAGAACTATAGAGTCAGAACTATAGAGACAGAACTATAGAGACAGAACTATAGAGACAGAACTATAGAGTCAGAACTATAGAGACAGAACTATAGAGACAGAACTATAGAGACAGAACTATAGAGACAGAACTATAGAGACAGAACTATAGACGGAACTATAGTCAGAACTATAGAGTCAGAACTATAGAGACAGAACTATAGAGACAGAACTATAGAGACAGAGAACTATAGAGTCAGAACTATAGAGTCAGAAATATAGAGTCAGAACTATAGAGACAGAACTATAGAGACAGAACTATAGACAGAACTATAGAGACAGAGAACTATAGAGTCAGAACTATAGAGTCAGAACTATAGAGTCAGAACTATAGAGTCAGAACTATAGAGTCAGAACTATAGAGTCAGAACTATAGAGACAGAACTATAGACAGAACTATAGAGACAGAACTATAGAGACAGAGAACTATAGAGTCAGAACTAATGAGACAGAACTATAGAGAAAGAACTATAGAGTCAGAACTATAGAGACAGAGAACTATAGAGACAGAGAACTATAGAGTCAGAACTATAGAGTCAGAACTATAGAGTCAGAACTATAGAGACAGAACTATAGAGTCAGAACTATAGAGACAGAACTATAGAGAAAGAACTAATGAGACAGAACTATAGAGTCAGAACTATAGAGACAGAACTATAGAGTCAGAACTATAAACAGAACTATAGAGACAGAGAACTATAGAGTCAGAACTATAGAGACAGAACTATAGAGACAGAACTATAGAGACAGAACTATAGAGACAGAACTATAGAGTCAGAACTATAGAGTCAGAACTATAGAGACAGAACTATAGAGTCAGAACTATAGAGTCAGAAATATAGAGTCAGAACTATAGAGACAGAACTATAGAGACAGAACCATAGAGTCAGAACTATAGAGTCAGAAATATAGAGTCAGAACTATAGAGACAGAACTATAGAGACAGAACTATAGAGTCAGAACTATAGAGTCAGAACTATAGAGACAGAACTATAGAGTCAGAACTATAGAGTCAGAACTATAGAGTCAGAACTATAGAGACAGAACTATAGAGACAGAACTAATGAGACAGAACTATAGAGTCAGAACTATAGAGTCAGAAATATAGAGTCAGAACTATAGAGACAGAACTATAGAGACAGAACTATAGAGTCAGAACTATAGAGTCAGAACTATAGAGTCAGAACTATAGAGTCAGAACTATAGAGTCAGAACTATAAAGACAGAACTATAAAGACAGAACTATAGAGTCAGAACTATAGAGTCAGAACTATAGAGTCAGAACTATAGAGACAGCACTATAGAGACAGAACTATAGAGACAGACCTATAGAGTCAGAAATATAGAGACAGAACTATAGAGTCAGAAATATAGAGTCAGAACTATAGAGACAGAACTATAGAGACAGAACTATAGACAGAACTATAGAGACAGAGAACAATAGAGTCAGAACTATAGAGACAGAACTATAGAGACAGAACTATAGAGACGGAACTATAGAGACAGAACTATAGAGTCAGAACTATAGAGTCAGAACTATAGAGTCAGAACTATAGAGACAGAACTATAGAGACAGAACTATAGAGTCAGAACTATAGATTCAGAACTATAGAGTCAGAACTATAGAGACAGAACTATAGAGACAGAACTATAGAGACAGAACTATAGAGACAGAACTATAGAGTCAGAACTATAGAGTCAGAACTATAGAGACAGAACTATAGACGGAACTATAGAGACAGAGAACTATAGAGTCAGAACTATAGAGTCAGAACTATAGAGTCAGAACTATAGAGACAGAACTATAGACAGAACTATAGACGGAACTATAGAGACAGAGAACTATAGAGTCAGAACTATAGAGTCAGAACTATAGAGTCAGAACTATAGAGTCAGAACTATAGAGACAGAACTATAAACGGAACTATAGAGACAGAGAACTATAGAGTCAGAACTATAGAGTCAGAAATATAGAGTCAGAACTATAGAGACAGAACTATAGAGACAGAGAACTATAGAGTCAGAACTATAGTCAGAACTATAGAAACAGAGAACTATAGAGTCAGAACTATAGAGTCAGAACTATAGAGTCAGAACTATAGAGTCAGAACTATAGAGTCAGAAATATAGAGTCAGAAATATAGAGTCAGAAATATAGAGTCAGAACTATAGAGACAGAACTATAGAGACAGAACTATAGTCAGAACTATAGAGTCAGAACTATAGAGTCAGAACTATAGAGTCAGAACTATAGAGTCAGAACTATAGAGACAGAACTATAGAGACAGAACTATAGACGGAACTATAGAGTCAGAACTATAGAGTCAGAACTATAGAGACAGAACTATAGAGACAGAACTATAGAGACAGAACTATAGAGACAGAACTATAGACGGAACTATAGAGACAGAGAACTATAGAGTCAGAACTATAGAGTCAGAACTATAGAGTCAGAACTATAGAGTCAGAACTATAGAGTCAGAACTATAGAGACAGAACTATAGAGACAGAACTATAGACGGAACTATGGAGACAGAGAACTATAGAGTCAGAACTATAGAGTCAGAACTATAGAGTCAGAACTATAGAGAGAGAACTATAGAGTCAGAACTATAGAGTCAGAACTATAGAGTCAGAACTATAGAGACAGAGAACTATAGAGTCAGAACTATAGAGACAGAACTATAGAGACAGAACTATAGAGACAGAACTATAGAGTCAGAACTATAGAGTCAGAACTATAGAGACAGAACTATAGAGACAGAACTATAGAGTCAGAACTATAGAGTCAGAACTATAGAGTCAGAACTAATGAGACAGAACTATAGAGTCAGAACTATAGAGTCAGAACTATAGAGTCAGATAACTATAGAGACAGATAACTATAGAGACAGAACTATAGAGACAGAACTATAGAGTCAGAACTATAGAGTCAGAACTATAGAGACAGAAATATAGATGGAACTATAGAGACAGAGAACTATAGAGACAGAGAACTATAGAGTCAGAACTATAGAGTCAGAGAACTATAGAGTCAGAGAACTATAGAGTCAGAACTATAGAGTCAGAACTATAGAGTCAGAACTATAGAGTCAGAACTATAGAGTCAGAACTATAGAGACAGAACTATAGAGACAGAACTATAGAGACAGAACTATAGAGACAGAACTATAGAGACAGAACTATAGAGTCAGAACTATAGAGTCAGAACTATAAAGACAGAAATATAGAGTCAGAACTATAGAGACAGAACTATAGAGTCAGAACTATAGAGTCAGAACTATAGAGTCAGAACTATAAAGACAGAAATATAGAGACAGAACTATAGAGACAGAACTATAGAGACAGAACTATAGAGTCAGAACTATAGAGTCAGTAGAGACAGAGTTGGCCACAGGGGGCGCTGTGGCTGCTGTTAACTGCAGATGTGTGTGTTCCAGAGTCGTGTGTGTGTTAACTGCAGGTGTGTGTGTTCCAGAGTCGTGTGTGTGTTAACTGCAGGTGTGTGTGTTCTAGAGTCGTGTGTGTGTTAACTGCAGGTGTGTGTGTTCCAGAGTCGTGTGTGTGTTAACTGCAGATGTGTGTGTTCCAGAGTCGTGTGTGTGTTAACTGCAGGTGTGTGTGTTCCAGAGTTGTGTGTGTGTTAACTGCAGGTGTGTGTGTTCCAGAGTCGTGTGTGTGTTAACTGCAGATGTGTGTGTTCCAGAGTCGTGTGTGTGTTAACTGCAGGTGTGTGTGTTCCAGAGTCGTGTGTGTGTTAACTGCAGATGTGTGTGTTCCAGAGTCGTGTGTGTGTTAACTGCAGATGTGTGTGTTTCAGAGTCGTGTGTGTGTTAACTGCAGATGTGTGTGTTCCAGAGTCGTGTGTGTGTTAACTGCAGATGTGTGTGTTTCAGAGTCGTGTGTGTGCG